CCCCCTTCCTCTAAAGGACAGGGAAATACAATTTGAGCCACCTTCGGCAAAATAGGAATCGGTGACTGGCCCTGTGGAAGGAATAATGTTCCGTCCTCTCGAGGACGCGTGGTCCGACAACTAAGGCATCCAAACCATAAGTACGCCCCCCCCCCCTCCCCCCCGCTTTACCGGTGCGAATTCTAAACCTCCAGGGTTCGGCCGTCGTCGATCTGCGGAGGAAGCGGATGCCGGTGGTGCAGCCGTCGAGGCGCCCTCTTTGGTGGGGGATACATTGTCGGGCCTGTGAGTCGACCAAGACGACGCACCGCACGCAAAAGAACGGGCACTTTCGGTGCATAAGATAAGGGGTGTGAATTTCCGTGCTGCTTGCAACTGAACGCCCGCGCGAAGCTTGGTGATGCACCAACAGCACGACAGGGACAAACTGGAGACATTGCCGTCCGTGCGGGGAGAACGAGGGCTAGTGTGCGTTAAGGAGCGACAAAAGTTGGGGGTGCCTGAATAATAACTTTCGACCTTCTTGTTTTGGTAATAACAAACGAGACAATACAGGACCACCACGCGTCTAGAAATTACGCTACGAACATTACAAAACATGGAGAACAAAATAATTAGAACAACATTCATCGAATTTTGGTCCCGTTCCAGGGACGTTGATTTGACCCACTGGCACTGACGCCTATTTCATCAGTCCGTCGGGTATAGTAGCGCGGTCGATACAAACACACAACGGCAGCAATCAACACCCGTTCTACGTGGATAGCGACACCTGTGTGTCTCCACAGACAAGCCATGCCTGCCTTATATATCGCAGAGGAGGGTACTGTAGACAGAAAAACTCCCGCCTGCGATGTGCAGGCGCCAGGTATTCGTCCTGCCTGTGTACTCTGTAGGGCAGGAAACTAACAGCGCGAGTCTGTTGGTAAACGGGCGGCCCGAAAGAAAATTACCGTCATCACCAACATCACCAGCGCTACTACCACTATCACCACCACAATCACCATCACCATCATCGTCATCGTCATCGTCTCACCTGACAAACACGCCGTGTCCCGCCGAGCACGTGAAGTACCGCGTGCCCTGAACCTCCCCGTCGTTCCTGCCGTCGCACGTGTCCAGCTCCACGCCGACCCACACTCCGGCCGAGAAGTGTGTGGGACCCACCCAACTTAACGCGCAGAGATCGAAACATGGCGTCAAAATTTATCGGGTAAGAATGGCGCATGGCATTTTTGCTTGACATCGTGTAACGGACTTGTACTATGCTAGATACAGCGATCCGCTGTGGGTTTTCGTCGAGAAGTACCTTGCTTCAGCGGAGGGTAGTTGGGGATGACGGCAGGGGAGGGGAGGGGTGGGGGGGTGAGTATTAGTATTCCCAAGCGGTCACGAGTGGCCCGGCGGAGAGCGGTGTAGAGATGTTGCCGTGCCCGCACTCTCTCCAGGAGAGGAAGAAAGATCGAACGGACGTGCAGTTTGGGAGCCGGTTATCGAACGCTCTCGCACACATTTTGCAACACACACGTTCCTCGCGCACCTTCGTTCCAGAAGCGTGCACTTTATCCTGTGCTGATGGCGATGCGCTCCAAAACTCGGAAAGTTGTCTTCCTACGAACACTCTCTCCGAACTCACATGAGACCCCCCCCCCCC